TGCATAAAGTTAAAAGATTAAAACTGATAAAACAAGTTTAAAAAAAGAGACTTTTCCATTTGATTACATTTTGTATGATGGATTATGCAGAAAAAGAAGAATTGGGCTGAAAGATCTATTGCTTTATCACCTATTCAGGTCTTCTTTTTAAAAAGTAACTAAGTAACTAAGTAATTAATTACTTTTGAAAATAAGTAATCAGTAAAGTAACAGGATTACTTTTTGGGGGAAGTAATCAGTAATTAGTTACTAATTACTTTTTTCAAGTAACTTGACCAACACTGTTGGTGAGTTTAAATTTATTAGTTCCCTTTGTGATCCTCCTCTGTTCCCCGAGTCTTTCCTCTGTGGTTGTTTCCAGCTCGTGTTGCATGTGAGTCTGCATGTTAAGCTGCTTCCTGTCTTAATTTGGTTGTCTTGTGTGTTTTGTGCTCTGTATCTAGTTTAAATTCCCTGCCTCATTATCCATGATTTGTTCCGACTGTGTCTTCCAACTGTTTTCTAAGTCTACTCTTGCCCCTTTGTCGTGCTGTCACACAGTGCTGTGTGCTTCGCTGCTCTGTGTTGGATTCTGTAATTTCTAGTATTTCTAGTTTTAAAGAGTTAAGAGCGATACACTAACTTCAACTACTGCGCTAAGCAGATTACAGATCTCTGTATTCTGATGATTAAACATATACCAAAAAAGTTTAAGATCATGACCTATTCAGCAATTGTGTGCATGAGACTGTTGAAATTATACCCCGGACCGTACTGACTCTTCTCCCTTATGTACGCTGGACCTTTAATCAGAATGGGAAAAACTGAGGCCACTGTCCCAGGAAAACTCACAGGCCTGCTTGTGAAGAGTTTTCTTTGAAACTGCTCTCTGCTACGATAAGTGGTCACATTGAGGTCCATGATTTGTGCTGGGTGGCTGGGACATTTAACATCTTAATTTTGGACTCACTTTACTCTAGCGTAGGTGTGGTGGCAGAAGTCTCCTATAGATATGTGAAACCTGTCCAGATGTCATAACCATCTGCAGGTTCACATCCTCCAAGAGGTGAGAAGACATTTTTTGGGATGTGTGTGGACCAACTTTCAGGTATTTTTTGCAGCAGAACAGCATGGACAACAGGAAATTTAAAGTTTGGACATGAATTTAATCAAGGATCTTGTTGGCTTGTTTGCTGACTTAAAGCCTATGTGGACAACAGTGTAGGCAGCAGATATCAAGGCCAAGTCTCTCTGTCCTGTCCTGTTTATGAGTGCAAACATCTATAAAAGTAAAACTGTACATCATCAGTGGTTTAACAATCGCATCTTACAGGCGCTCCTGATTGCCCTTTGTTTCCAGATTCTCCTTTGGCGCCACAGTCACCTCTGCTCCCTCTGGGTCCTCTCCTACCTGGTGCACCCCTGTCTCCCTTTAAATAGCAGAGTTACTTTAGCCTCAAGAAGAAACATCTTGAGACATACAGGTCATTTTATGAGGTAAAAATAAAGCTGTTACAGGCGGTCCCCTTGATCCAGGATAGCTGAAACCTTGCCTTCCTCTGTCACCCTTTAGAAGAAAAACAACGTGGATGAGAGTAAATTATTTACTGATAATCATGAACAGAAATGCTCAGACTTTCTTTTTACCTTTGGTCCAAGTGGCCCAGTGTCTCCCCTTGGTCCTGAATCTCCAGGATCTCCCGTCGTGCCCTGCAGCCACAGAAGATAAAATTCAAATACAAAAAAAGAATCTACTTGAAAAAGGAGAAAATGATGACGATGATGATAAAGTTATAAAGCAACAAACATTTCGTCCAGGGGCGCCTAGTTCTCCTGGCTGACCCCTCGGTCCCGGTAGTCCTAGTTCCCCCTGTCAGAGAGAGAAAATAACAGACAACCCTTTTTACTGGACTCGACCTTGACTCCAGCCCACACACGCACATGCAGGATGAGTTTCACTGATGTGGATTTGGCAGTTTGAAGCTAATCATTTCAAATTACTTTATAGTGTCTTAGATTTTCATCTGGAAAATAAGTGTTTTTATGATGAAGGCATGGCTCCAATGTTGAATGTCTAATGAAGGCATGCCAGGTTCTTGGGAAGCCTCTGAGTCATTGCTCATCAAAAATCCACCCACAGCGTGACCTCCTCACCTTAGCCCCCTTGAGTCCATTTTCCCCAGGCCAACCTCTGCTTCCCTCCGGGCCTCGTTCTCCCTCACAAAATAAATGAATGTGTCAGAATTCATACCAAACCATTAATTACTTCCCAATATATACAAGACACAACAGTAACAGGGAGGTAATAATTCTGCCTCAGGGAAGTGTCTGAGGAATTTTTCTGAGATGACCCACTGAATAACAGAACTGTGTTATACTAGTTGGAATTTCACTATTTTAGTTCCTCAGAATTAAAAACCACAAGCACACTTCGGACTTTCTTCCTCAAAGGTCTTTCTTAATTCATCTTTCTTAAAAGGTCACAGGAAGCCAGTGTTTCACAGTATTTCAAACCAGCAGCTAAAATGGTGCAATTTTGCTTAAAATAAGCGGAAAATGAAATGCCATTCATACAATAAGACAATTCATTAAAAAAAAAAAACAATGACAAAAGCTTACCTTTTTCCCTTTTGGCCCAGTGTTTCCTTGTGATCCCTTTATTCCCGGGTTTCCTCTCCTCCCCTATGAATATTTATTCAGTAAATTTCTTTTAACTGTTTTCCAAATGGGGATTTTTTTCCAAGTAAAAACACGAGTCAAATACCTCTTCGCCTTTTGCCCCAGGTGAACCCTTTCTCCCCTGCAAGTGTCAACAGTTTAATTTGAGAGTTGGTTTTGTAACATCAGTTTAGTGCTCATGTAAAAAAAATCATAGAATAAAATAAATTCAGGGCTGTACCGGACTCCCTCTTTGTCCAGGCTGTCCTGGATTTCCTTGGTTTCCTCTTTCACCCTAAAAAGCAGACATTCAGTTTTAAAGTAAAGAAAAATCTTTGTTGTGCGCTCAGTATTTTTTCCACTTGTTTTTTAATTTGAAGGTTACCTTCAGACCTGGATTACCCTTAGGGCCTGGGGGGCCTGGCTTTCCAGGAAGGCCTGTGTCACCCTAAACAAATGCAAAAACAATCAAAAAGAAAAGCCACAAAAAATACATAACTGGACATAATGTAATATTATTAACTGAGCTTCAGTGAACTCTAAAAAATGGTAAATGGCCTGTATTTGTATAGCGAAGTGTCCTTGTCTTGCCCAAGGACACTATGACCGAGACTGTCGGAGGCGGGGCTCGAACCAGCAACCTTCCGATTACAAGACGAACTACCAACTCTTGAGCCACGATCACCCCATCAAATAAGTTTATAAGGAAAAAAATGGGCATGTCTGATTGTCTAGTCATTGACTCTGTAGTCGAGTGAGCATGGGCAAAGATACAGTTCAAATCAAAAATCTAAGACTTTAAAAATGCCAAAATATCATATTTTGCATGGTTGGACCTTAACAAGGTTTCAAGTGGAGTTTCAACATGTAACAAAAAGAAATGGGAGCGAGACAGAACATTTTACAGCTGATCAAAAATGTATAACTACATGCCATTCAAAGGCCAAATCTGTGCAAAAATGTGGATTTATTGTCATTTTCTGTCAGGTAGTCACACTGTCATGACGTTCTGATGGCAAAGGCAAAAAAAATGTTCCCTTTTTGAATGTGGTCGGGATGTTGAACTCCCAGGGCTGCACATAAGTGGTCCGCAGGTGCGCATGCGCGGTCAAAATAAAAGACACACACCAGATAAGAAGCTGCAACGCGCGTTTGCGTACATAAGATTTTCTGGAGGAGGACAGACATTAGTTTAGAACTCTTGAAGATGTCAAAGAGGCAAGCTCCTTTAAGCAATTACTTTGGTGTTCCTACACCTCCAAAGAAATGTCAGAAGAAGTCAGAACCGCAAAAAAAGCGCGTATTCTTGGAAAAGTGGTTGCAGGAGGTGAGCTGGCTTCAAACAAATGCCAGCTCACTTATGTGCACCCCTGGAACTGCATAAGCAGGGTCTCTCGCAGCATGCCATCGCTGCTGAGGTGGGGCGCAGTAAGACAGTCATTTGGAATTTCTTAAATGATCCCTGGCGTTATGGAACAAAAAAGTCAAAAAGTGGAAGACCCAAAGAAATTTCACCAGCACTGAGCTGGAGGATCCAATTGCCTGCCTGTAAAGACACTGGACAGTCCTTGAACCAAATTAAGGCCGTTACTGGTCCTGACTGGAGCCCCATAAACATCAGAATGTAACCTTGATGGTTCTGATGGTTTCCAAACTTACTGGCATGACAAGCAGATCCAACCTGAGATGTTTTCTGCGCGCCACAGTGGAGGGGGCGCATTAATGGTCTGGGGTGCTTTTTCCTTCAGTGGAACAATGGAGCTTCAGGAGGTGCAGGGGTGTCAAACGGTTGCTGGCTATGTCCAGATGTTGCAGAGAGCAACATTGTCTGTGTGGTAACAGCTGGGTTTTCCAACAGGACAACGTTATGAAGCGCCTTGAGGCGACATTTGTTGTGATTTGGCGCTATATAAATAAAATTGAATTGAATTGAATTGAATAGGGTACACAGTGCCTGCAGGTTACAGTGTTTTGTTTTGTTTTTGTTTTGTTTTTTGAGGTGTGGTCCTAAACTGATCAGGCAGTTTAAACATTGTTTTCAATAAATTGTATGCTCAAATTTTTTTTGGGCTCATCCCCATTTCTTTTTGTTGCATGCTGAAGCTCTACTTGGAACCTTGTTAAGATCCAACCATGCAAAATATGATTTCTTTCTTCTTTTTTTTTTGGGCCATTTTTCAAGTGGTCTTAAACTTTTGATCGTGACTGAATGTCTGCACACAGCCCAAATATTTAGTCTGAGCTGAGCTTTGGCTACATTCATGACGCATAATTCAGGAAATCATCAGTACCAACAGTTACATCTGCATGAGCTGTACAAGTTGAATGTACTGACAGAATAAACACAAATATGTCAAGAAAAAAAATGTCAAAAAAATGTCTGCCAAGCTGCTGCAGCCGTCAGCTATGTCAGATGATTTAATTATGAAAAAAGAGCATTTCCTCTTTGTATTTATGTGCTGTCATTTCACTGCATAACATATGTTATGTTTGCATGGCTGGAAAAGGGAGGGGGTTCCTGTTTATGAATACAGCACGATGAAGGTGCTAGCATGTCAGCATACGGTTTGGTGGCACATCTTAACTGCTATTCAGACTAATGTTCAGCTTCTCGGTGATACGCATGTCCAGATTAGGAGTTCTGGAATTTGTAACATTTGTTTTAATATTCATGCCGATGCCCAATTTAGAATCACCCATTAACCAAACACGCATGTCTCTGGACTGTTCTTGCTGTGAGGTGAAAGCGCTAACCACTACACCATGTGCCACGCGATACAGACAAGTATTTTTAAGATCAATTTAAAAAAAGACAAAAACCTAATTATAGCTTTTAAAAAAACCTTTAAGAAGACAAACTGAAAGATTTAGATTTTTGCTTCCGTTGTGACAGGCATATTTTAAAAGGCACCCATAAATCAATGCACATCTTAGTCTCACAGAAGTGCCTTGACTAATGAGAGCTGTTAAACTCTAATTCACTGGCTGAAGCTGCTCTCACGTTCCCTCATTCGTCTTGAACACGACAGTGTTTTTTGGTGGAGGGCTTTTCTGTTTATACTTCAATTAACGGTCAGACAGCCCACATCAGCCTAATCTATCATTTTTGAGGCAAACGTGTTGTCACAGAAAGGCGTATATACATAATATCATAATCTAAAGCTCTTATTAGCACAACAGCAAGAGGCCGCCCTACCAAGCAAATTCAACATACCCTGGATATCTTTCAGTCATTAATCTGGCTAAGCAGTCACACAAAGTCCTTATCAACACGATAAATTCAGTCAGGTTTTTCCAATTTAGCTGTGGGCATGTTCCCATGAGGAGGACTTTTTCAAAGGAAGACAAAATCTAATAATAAAAAGATATGAAAAGGTTAAACACGCAAAACAGGCAAAAAGAAATGCAGCTGCTGCTGGGCAAAATCTTGCAGTATGAGTGTAACAGGAAACAGGGGCGCATCTACAGAGCAGCAGTGGGTGTGTGTGTGTGTGTGTGTGTGTGTGTGTGTGTGTGTGTGTGTGTGTGTGTGTGTGTGTGT